CGCGTGCTTAGTGCGATGGTGCTGAGTCCTGTTGGATTGTCCAAGGTCTCCGGCCAAAATGCTTGCGTGCCCAAGGCTTTAATACACCCTACAGAATATTTTCACGATAACATTCGGCATTTATTCTGATAGCACGGTCGATTAATACGAGCGAAGAGCGACCATCGGCTATTATGGCAGTCCACACCATCGCCATGGCCGGCGCTTGAGTTCTGGTGGCCAACCGAAGGTGCACATTTTCAGCTGACCTCTTTGGCAAGTAAACGCGATCATTTTGTTTGTTTACAAACTGCTGGACAACGAATGTTTTCTCATCGGAGACGGAGAAAACCAAATTCGCCAGTTCACCACTTTCGGCCAAGCGAAGCAACTCTTTACCTCTTTTGACTCTATTTTCTTTCCGTTGTGGTGTAAGTTTTTACACTTTTTTGAATATCAATGGCTTTACCCAGCGCTCATTTTTTATTATTTGCCGAATGGAATATTGCGATATGTTCAGCTCACGAGCCATTTTTCGGCCACTGCGACACGGGTTTCGAACAAGTCGCTTCTTTACTTTTCGAACCATTTCTGCTGATGTTGCTGTTTTCTTCCGTCCACTTCCTTGACGTCGGGCTACGCTACCAGTATCACGAGCGATGGTACGAAACACAAACGATTTATTCACATTTAAATGCTAGAGTGCTCTAACGATAGCCACTTGTGGATTTCCAGCCAAATATAAAGAAATCACACTATCACGCTTGAATTCTGTACTGAATAACTTTTTTTCTGGAAAATTCTCACCAAAAGGCTTTGGTACGCTTGTAAACAATATGATTCCAGTGACAGCTCACACTGGAATAATTTTAACAGCTGTCAGACGAGTGGCTTAGAAATGACAGCAGTCTGAAATTGGTTGCAGATTTTTCATCTCGCCCTGTATTTAACCATATTTCAAAAAAGCGACCCAAAAGACCCCTTTGTTCACTCGCTTGAGGGTTAAAATTTTCCATTAAAATAATCCTTGTGTTTTTATCTGCAATACTGCTGAAGACACTATATACCTACAAACAACGGATTCCGAAGAGTCGCAAACCGAAATTTTCAAAAGTATGTAGAGAAGGGGCAAACTTACCCCCTCGAAATAATCCTCGTATTGTTAATTGTAATGCTGTTAAAGACTCTATTTACTTAAAATCAACGGATTCCGAAAAAATCGTAACTCGAAAATTTCAAAAATATGTGGAGAAGGTGGAAACGTTCCCCCTTCGAATCCTCGTATTGTTATCTGTAATACTGCCGGAGACACAATATACCTAAAATCAACAGATTCCAAAGAATCGTTACCCGAATTTTTCAAAAATATGTGGAAGGGGGGGGGGGGGAATTACCCCCTCTATTTTGGTCACTTTTCGATAAAAACTTTAAAAAAGGCGATACATGTATCTTCTATTTTTAGCCCCACTTTCATAATCTACTGAATTTTTCCTGTAATTATTTTTTTTGTGTTGCACAGTGTAATTTAAGTTTTCACATTGTGGAGCTTTGGAAATTTTCTTATCTAGTCCAGTCGTCTATTTTTGTATAATCTAACAATTCCCCATCGATTGTGCTACTAAATTGGTAAGGTGTTTAACCTCCTGTCCACTTAACCTTTAGTTCTTATCATTGAATCCAAAGAACATTTTATCGCACCTCCAATATTGGGGTGTCTTAAAATTACTTGGAAATGTCAAATCATTTCGATTTTTCATTTCATAATATGACTAAATACCCCAAGAATTTATTTCCTGCAAAACAAAAATTAAATAATTTCAAATGGAAAATAGACCTCAAATTACTACAGGCCATGCTGACGATTCTTTGCATTCCCCGTTGGTTGGGTGGATTGGTTCCTCTTATCGGGCGATAAGAATGTTTGGTATTTCAATTTTTTTTTTAATTTTTCTAGGTTACAAAATGAAACTTAAATCTAAGTTGTTTCCCATTTTTGTTTGTTTGAGGAAACCAAGTCATATTTCGAAAACCTTGAAAACGACAACCAACAAAAACAACTCAATTTGAAAAATATCCAAGATATGACGTCTTTTTGTACGAGGTTATCAAATAAAGTTTCCTCCTCTCGTTGGTATGTCAACCATGAAGGGAACGGATAGGGGAAAAAATAACTTAATTTCGTTTTGCTTGGGGAATTTTTTTGTTTTTTTTTTATCAAAAACTCCGTAAATAGAAAATTACCTCAGAGCTGAAAATTGAAAACACCTTCTGCAAAAAAAAAAAAACTGAACAAAACAAGATAACAGGGCGATTACTGCATTTAATGAATTAGAAACAAATATTTATATTTTTTGTTAAAAACAAAAAACTTTTTTGAAATGATCTCAGTTCCTTTAATGCAATTATGGCAAAACATAATCGATGACAGTGGGATTTGTCATTTTGAATTTAAAAAATTAATATTTTAAGGAATTATCAGCCACAAAAATTTTGAAAAATATTTACCTAAAAAATTGATATTCAAGAATTTTTTTCTACTAAATAAATTTTTCCACTACTGGATTCTTTGAAAACTGTAATCAGAAAATTGTAGATTTTTCTTCAAAAATGTTTTTTAAGGATATGAAAACAGAAACATTCGATAACAATATTTTTTCTCAGGTATTTGCAAATGGAAACTGGTCTAAGGTATATTTTTTGAAGGACTTATAAGGTTGTCGATCGGGGATTTAAAAAAAATAATAATAATAATGGACTTGCAAACAGAAACACATGGTTTTGAAAAATGACTTTCAGGTCAAAAACAGCAGATTCGAAAATTATTTATTTAAAGGTCAAAGATTTCCAGCGGAAAATTACAAATTTGTTCTTCGAATAATATGTCAAATACTTCCACACTAAAAGTCTCCAATTTTTTTAAGAACTGTTTTGATTAACAAGTTCTTGCAGATTGACAATTGTCAATCACCAAAAAAACTATTTCTTTCAAAATTGCATATCAAAAATTGCGGATTTTTTTAAACAAATTTTTTTAATGTTTTCGATTATAGGTCCTGTGCGACAAAATTCAATTTTTATACCTTCAGCCATATGGCTAAAGAGGGTATATATCACTTGATACGTCCAAAACGAGCCTCATCGAAATAACGGCTGTAAACCCTAGGTCTCTGCATCAAATTCGTTTCAGGACAGTTGCAGTTGATCTAGCGATGTCCGTCTGTCTGTCTGGCTGGTGAGCACGATAACTCTCGAAGGGAGTATCCAAATTTGGTCCAAACTTGGTACATCATAATATTATTATCGAACTTAGATCGCCTTCGGAGATGGTCAATATCGGTCCACTCCTTCTGGTACCTCCCACACAAAATGTCAAAATTTAAAAAAAAAATAATTTACTGCACACAAAGAGAAACGATAATCCGATTTTGCTCCAACTTTGCAAATTCTAATATTTGCATCAGGTGCGAAAATGGGCATTATCGGTCCACTCCATCAAGTACCTTCCCCACAAAGGGTCAAAATTTTCTATAATTATAGCTCTTATAAAATGTGATGTAGAAGTCCGATTGTCTTCAAATCATACATCACAATATTTTCATTAACATAAGGTCTGATGTGAAGATGGAATGTATCGGTCCATTCCTTCTGCTACCTCCCCCACAAAGGGTCAAAACTTTGAATACCCGCGAAGCTCATAAAACGCGAAATTAACATTCGATCCATTCAGACTTCGCACAGCTCAATATTTTCACAAACACAAGATATCTTAAAAAAAATAGTAGAGATCGGACCAATTCTTCCGGTATCTCTCTCACATAGGTTTCAAGATTTTGAGAAACAAAACGCTGAAAGAAAGAAAAATAATAACAACTCTCTTCAAATCTCACACATACAAACATTTTTGCTAACACAAGATCTGTTGTGAAGATGATATATATCTACGAACCCCTTCCGGTACCTCACCCACAAAGGGTCACAATTTTCAATACTTTTATCTGTTATAACTTGTGATACAAGTCAGCGATTCTTTACAACTTGCTATAACTAAATATTTCTCTCTATCAGAAACCTGAGATGAATATGAAATTTATGATTTTTTGCTTAAATTCAAAAAAAGCTTTAACCTTAAACTTTAACCCTAATGACCTTTAACCCTAAAATGAGTTTTTAATTTTTATGAATTCCTGACGTTTAGGTAAGATTTAGACTTTTGATGTCTTCTTGGACCTATAGTAGATTTTTATGACAAACATTTTTGTAGAATATTTCGAAATGCTACGATCCCATTTTAAGGAAGTTTTTAACAATATTCTGAAAAAAGGACCAAAAAAGACCCCTTTGGTGACTTGCTTAAGGTTTAAAATTTCCAACCAAAATATTTCTTCTATTGTTATCAGTAATGTTTGTTGACAATGCCAATGACATGGTATACTCAAAATCAACACGTTCCAAGGAATCCCAATCCGACATTTTTAAAAAATGTGGATCAGGGGGGATCTCGCCCTCTCTATTCAATTTACTTTGCGAAGCCAGACTTTCACAACGCCGATACACGTGTCTTCTTTTTCAGCTCTAATTTCATAATCTGCTGGGTTTTCCTTAAATAATTAAAGAAATTCAGTTTTGTAGCACAGTGTCATCAAGTTAAATATAACGAGTTACAAATAAAACCTCTGTTCCAGATCTTGTAAAAATCTACTAATTTTGCAATTTTTCTCATTTTTACATTGCATTGCATTTCTGGAACAGTTCAAAAATATTTTGAATTCCACCTGGAAAAGGGTTACTTTTTGTAGGTATCCCCCGTTTGGGAGTTTTGTTATACTTTTCAATTCAATGGAGATTTTTTTCATAAACATTTTTTTGTCAGTTTTTTTATGAATATTTATCAATTGTACATGTCTACACACACACGTGTATTTAATATGTTTATTTGCAAAATTGTTTTACATCACAATTTCTCATCACATTTTATTAATTTGGCTTTGTTTTCCGCCTTTGTTTTTTGTTTTCCTTTACAGCATCACAATATGAGCCGGGCGGTTATTCATTGCAATCACAGACGAGTCGCAACTCAGCCAACATGACACAGCGCGATGGCATTATGAAATTCGAAAATGAACGAATTAAGACATTGCAGGAGGAGCGTCTGCACATACAGAAGAAGACCTTCACAAAATGGATGAATTCCTTTCTGGTAAAGGTATGTACGGAATTGGTTGTAATTGTCAATGTTTATTTTTTTCATTTTTATACCCTACAACACTATGTGTTGGGGGTATTATAAGTTTGATTGGGCCAAAAATTATGTAACACCACGAAATATTGGTTTCCCATATAGGAAAGTATATATGGATCTTCCTAGCTCGCCGAGCTGAGTCGATCTAGCTATGTATGTCCGTCCGTCCGTCTGTCCGTCTGTCCGTCTGTCCATGTTAATTTGTAATCACTCTACAGGTCGCAATTATGGCCCGATCTTCACGAAATTTAGAATGGAGGTGGGACTGGGGTCAGAATAGAACCCTATTTCTTTTAGAGATGATCGCCAAATGTTTAGGGGTTGAAATGGACCAAATACTAAAAAAATGTCGGATTTTGCAGTAGCTATACAGGTCGCAATTATAGACCAATCGACGCGGAATTTTGCATGTAGCTAGAGTTTAGGGCGGGGAAGAAGCCTACCAATTTGGGTGGTCATCGGATAATATTTAGCGGGTAAAATAGACCATATCTTTTGTGTTGAAAAAATTCAAAATTTTTCATTAAACCGCGAATATTTTAAATCCCGGCGAATTCACAAAGCCATGACAAGGTTACTTCTGATCTTTACATTGATGTTAACATCCAACAAAACGGATATATAGCAAAATATGTGCGATATATATGTTTATCAAAGAAGATATGCTTGAAAAATCTCTTATATGTCGAGAACGGCTGAACTGATTTCGACAGTTCTCATTAATTCAGAATGACCTCTTGGCGGGAAAGAAAAAACGTCTAAAAAATCGCATAAAAATATCTCTCTAAAGATAAAAATATTGATTTTGTAACATTTTCTCATATTTTTTCAATTTTGTCATATTTTTGGCATATTTTGATTTTGAATTAAACATTTGGTAATATTTCTACAGCTAACAAAACTAAGTAGTTAGGATATCAGGATATCATATACAGATCGCATTTATGGCCCGATCCTTACGAAATTTTGCATGGAGATAAGATGAGGGTCAGAATAGAAGCCTATACTTTTTGGAGATGATCGCCATATATTTAGGGGTTGAAATGGACCAAAAAACTGCAAAATTGTCTGCGGGTCGTAATTATCGCCCGATCCTCACGCACATTTGAATGGGGGTTACCGGACATTACAAAAGCCAAGCAGTTTTGGATGGCCGTCCAAAAATATTCAATGTGTGAAATAGTTTGCCAACTTTTGTAGACAAAATACGAAAATGTCCATTCCAGTGACTTTTTGGAGAATTCACAAATACAGGAAAGACGCACTTCTGACTATTTCGTTAATTAAATTGGAAATATATATAAACTGTGTCGTTTATTATAGTGTTGTAGGGTATTCAACGGTCGGCCCCGCTCGACTGTAGCCTTTGCTTACTTGTTTTTTTTTGCTTTTGATAATTAATCAAAGCAATTATTTTCAAAAAAATGTTTGTTGACAATACACGTTTTTTTTAATTACGTTACATATTTTTAACATCTCTCTCCCTCTCTCTTTCTTGTTGCTATTTACCAGGCAAAGCTAGAGGTCGAAGACCTTTTCACGGATTTAGCAGACGGTGTCAAACTGTTGAAATTACTTGAAATAATATCCGGTGAAAAGCTGGGAAAGCCAAATAATGGACGCATGCGTGTCCACAAAATCGAAAATGTCAACAAGAGTCTGGCATTCTTGCACACCAAGGTATGTATTGGGAAATGTGAAGAAAAAAAAAAAAATAAAAATACAAATGATTTTCTCAATCTACTGAAATTCGATCGAATTCGAATTTTATCTACAAAAAAGGTTTTCGGTTTTAAGAAGAATTTTTAGAGATTTCTTATTTGAAAACAAAACTTTTAATGAGTTTCTGTCTTTGAAAGAACTTTTGAAGATCCTTTGCTTGTAGAACACATTTCAAAGCTCTTAATTCTAAAAATAGCTGATAAAAATTATTCTGGTCATAGAAAATATATTCCATATCTGTAGAAGACCTCTAAAGGTCCCAAAAATAGCCTCCATAAAAAGGACCTCTAAAAAGGTATTCTATAAACAGAATATTTTAAAATTATTTTCTATAGACAGAAAACTTCTAAAATGTTTTCTATAGAAATAAGAGCTTTAACAGATTTCCTATTACCAGAAAACATCTATAGAAAGAATACCTTAAACAGAAGATCTATAATAGTACATTCATGAAAACATATTCTACAGAAAGTTGACTTTTTACCGACCTTCTATATTAAGAAGAGATGCTCAACAAAAAATACCGTTAACAGGTCTTCCATAGACCGAGCATCTTTCCATCATATCTTCTAAAGAGAGAAGACCTAAAAGAAGTTTTCTATAGACAGAAAAACTGAAAGGTAGTCTTGTAAAGAGAAGAGATTTTTTTACAGATTATCTAAAGAGATACAATTTTAAAGAAATATCCTATAAAAAGGAGTATTTTTAAAAGCTATTATTTTTTGAGGATCTTTCAAAGTTCATCTATTGAGAGAATACCCTTAAAGAGCTCCATTATAGAGAGTAGACCTTTATTTAAAAAAAAATCTTCAACAGAGTAAAGATATTTATTAAGTGTTCTTTTATAGAGAGAAGAGCGTTAACAGGCCTTCTACAGAAAGGAAACCTTTATTAACCTTTATTTTAGTCTTTCAAAGGGAAGAGTGTTTTAAAACGTCTTCTACCGAATGATAGCCTTTAACAGGTCTGTCATAGAAAGAAGACTTTTAACAGACCTGTTATGAAAAATAGATCTTTATTAAGACTTCTATAGAGAAAATACCTTTATCCAGTCTTCTATAAGAGAAGTCATTTAATAGGTCTTCTGAATCTGAATTCTTCAATTCGGGCTTATATTTTAATATAACAATTAAATTGAAATCAGATAAAGACATATAAATGCGAGCTATATTCAAATCTGAGCCGATCTCGATAAAATTTGGCAAAGGTATTTCTGAGCTCTATTTGGTATATTACCCCAAATATCGTTGTGACAGATTGCATATTACGAATGTGAGGGACATAAAACCGACATATATGGGAGCTATATCCAAATCTGAACCGATTTTCACCAAATTTGCTGGTGACTGAATTCGTTCGGATGTGCCGAAATTCAGTCCATTTTGGGCTGATATTGACCACTTTGTCAACAATTAACCTGAAATCGGTTGACTATATATATATGGGAGCTATATCTAGATTTGGACCAATTCTCACCAATTTCAATAGGGTTCATCCTTGGGCCAAACAATTCTTGTATGGAAAATTTCATCTCAATCGGATAAAAAAATGCAACCTGTAATTTGTCTACAAAAATACAAGGACAGACGGGCGGACATTCATAAATCGACTCAGAATGTGATTCTATGCAGATCATCAAAAAGAACTATTGGTCTAACTCGCTTCCTTCTAAATGTTACAAACAAATGCACAAATACATAATACCCTGACCACCTTATGGTGTAGGGTATAAAAACTATATATAACTTTTATAGCGTGAAGACTTTTAACAGGACTTCTATAGAGAGAAGGGTTCATGGGGTCTGTTTTTGATAGAAGACATTTAACAGATTCTCTATAGAAGGAAGGGCTCCTAAAGGCTTTCTAAGGAAATGAAATCTTTAAAAAGTGCTTCTGAATCTACAACAGGTCTTCTATAAAGAGAAGGCCTTTGGCAGATCTAGTTCATTTATTTATTTTATTTTTTTATTTTTTTTGTTTTTGTGAAGCCAAGATTTTTAGCAGCTATACCTTAAATCAAAGATATTTAGGATATCTTCTGTAGAATGACGGCATGGAGCAGGGGAAGTCTTCTACAGGGGAAGACATTTGTAGAAATTTTCGGATTAAGATGTATTGAAATTCTTGCATTCTTTGACGCTATCTTTCTAAAATGATGTCTTGTTGGAGATTTTTCCGTAGACTCATATAAACTACCACTTTAACTTTGGTTTAAAATTTTGATTTAGCATTTGATTTAGAATTTTGATTTATTTCGGGAATTTTAGTGGAATTATATGACAAATTATTTTGTAGATTTTTTTTGACATATTACGATCCGGTTTAATCATTTTTTTAAAAAGACCGAAAAGGCTCCTTTGTTGGCAGTTAAAAATAACATTCACGCTGTAATATTTTTACAAGGTATTCTGATCTGAATTTTCTTTATATTCCGAAAATTTTTAAAAATGTGGGGACTTGCCAGCTATATTAAGGTTACTTTGCGATACAAACTTTCAAAACGCCAATACACTACTATTTTATGCTCGAGTTTCATATTATATTGACTTTTTCCAGTAGTTATTTTTTTTTCTTGCGCAGTGTAATTAAAGACCCTTTAAAAGATCTTTCAGATATAGAAACTGCCTTATATGTTGAAGAATTTTGAGATAGTTTGTGCTATTTCATAGACAGAGACAATAAAAACACCAACGAGTTGTCTATTCACACAAACAGAGTTCACTGACCGTTCCGTTCAGCAGCCTGAGGGCACAATAAAACAGGGAGACCCATTTTGTGTAAAAACCCACAGCACAGATTTGCAAAAGCGATTTGAAATGTGAAACAATTTCTTAATTCCCTCTAAGAAGCCATGACAAAATTAGCCTGTTTTTAAATCATATCAGGGGCCAACAAATAAACCGCACATCCCTTCATCGGCCAACAAGCCGAATGTTTTATTCCAGCTACAATCCCCCGGTCACTGCTAGCACACATGACATGATGACGACAACACTTTCAGGGCTTCTTCTGCAGCAGCAGCCACACTTTACAAACTTACATACCCAGATAGATTTTTGCTGTTGTTGGCTTAATTTTTTTTTCACTTGAAAATGCGTTTTGCTCGACTTGGCGTGGCTTTCTTCATTCCAGCCAGCATTTGTGTTGGAAATCTCTTGGATTTTATCGGCTGCAGCAAAAGTGTGGAGCAAGCAAATGTTTTTGGTTTTTTTGTAGTTTTCTGCTATGGTTAATTCCTCAGGTTGGCGTGTGACATAGTTTTCCTTTCATTTTGATATTAATTTTCTTCTTTTGCCCGGTTTTTCGTTTTACTGCCTTCTTTTATTTACCTCCTACTCTTCTACTGGTCTATATACCGTCATTATTGTTTTGCATTGCTTTGCAAAAAACAAACACAACATTACACATTTGTCTGTTGCTGTAGCGTCGTAGCTCAGCACACAGAAGCAGTAAGTTGTTCGGACAACCTCATCAGCTAATTTATGTGGCAAATTTGTCTATAAATTTTCTACTTTCATTTGTTGTCGATGAATGGCAGACAGACAGTGTATCTTACAGATGGGAAATACAGACATCTCCTACCCAGGCTTACATACATGCCTATGTGATGTGGTGGAAAGTTGTTCACAATTTTCCTTTTCGTTTGTGATGTGAGTTGTAACTAACAGTTAAGACATAAGAACATTAATTTGCTTTACCTGCAATTACTCATAGCTGCACCATGGCCTATGCTGATATGCAGTAATACACAAGTTTAATTAAACTGCAAAAAATGTTCAATAATTGTACCCGAGTCATTTTGGTGCAAACCTTATATAAATGTAGCCCCTCATATTTATCGCAAGGGTGTTTGCCATATCTTCCGCTCGAATTGGTATTATATTGTATTTTTTGACCTAATGCCAACAACTCCACTTAGAAGTTTTTACACGCCATATCATCTACGTAGCCAGAAATGGCTTTCGAAACCATTTCTGGGAGCCCAACCGACAAAAAATAAAATTTTCAAACAAAAATATCTATAAATTTAGATTTACGGAGGGGGACGGGACCCCTGGGCCCCTACCATGGCTATGTCCGTGCACCACAGCAAATCAGTTAGGAAATCAGTCTATTCCCTTATGTCGGAAGGGTTTCTACCCCCAAAGAAACCAAATTACAAATGGTCAGTCAAATCTATTGGAAAATATGCCGAAACTCCTGCAAAAACTAAAATCAGGGGGCATATTTATATTAGAGCTGATCCAAAATGAACCCATGTTAAACAATTTTTTCCCAATAGCAATTCTACATAATTTGAACTCAAAACAGCAAAATTTGGCGAAATGAAATGGTAAATAGTTCTGAAGCGCAAAACATACTTGAAATCAGGATTTACACTCATATAGGGACTAAACCAAAAAGTGGACCGACCTGACCTTTTTTATACCCTCCCCCATACATAGTATGGAGGGTATATTAAGTTCGTCATTCCGTTTCTAACTCATCGAAATAATAATTTTGGACCTCGCAAAGTATATATATTATTGATCAGCATAAAATTCTAAGAGGATTTAGCCCTGTCCGTCCGTCCGTCTGTATGTCTGTTGTAATCACGTTAGAGTCAATACGAACTAGGAAGCTAACATTTCGCACATATCAGTCTTTTGTCTACAGACAGGTCAAGTTCGAAGATGGGCTATATCGGTCCACGATATCATGTATCGGTACCTCCCGATATTCGGTATTTTTATGATTTTAGCCACATTTTGCAATGGAATTGTCTTAAAATCCACACCAGGAGTTCCTTCTGAAATTACTTATCCCCTTTTAAGAGAGTTGTCTATATCGGTGCACGATATCGTACAGTCCCCACATAACGCCCCCCAGGTGTCCAGTATTTTCATGATTTTTGCCAAAGTTTTTAATGAAATAGTCTCAAAATCTACACAAGGAATACCTTGCCCCCTGGTAGAAAG